TTAGGCAAAGGCTAGGAGAAATAAACTCCGACTAAAAATTCCCCTGCTTTGGGGCTCTTGGTTGAGTAAAGGCTAGAGATGGTGTCTCGATAAAAACAATCATCTTGGGCAGATGTAAACTGCATCCAGCTAAACATCCCCTGCCTTGGGGCTCTTGGTTAAGTAAAGGCTAGAGATGGTGTCTCGATAAAAATACTCATCTTGGGCAGATGTTAACTGCATCCAGCTACTGTCTTGTAGAAGGCCTCCTAGGCAAAGACTTTAGGGGTAAGCAGAAAAATTCTGCTAACCAGACTCGAACCCCTTCTTCATCTATTACGCTGGCGTAGATGTAACATGTGTTACACTGTTTCCTGCCTAGGATGATGAATGCTGGATCTCTCCTTGACTCTACTCATAGAATTTTGCTTATGCCTCCTTGATAATGGCTATGCAACTCTTCCTGTTATCTCCATATGAGGGTACAGCTCTAAAACTCAGTCTAATGGTTCTGAGGCCGGCTGGTAGTGAGGTTTCTCGAACTCTGTGGTAGCTCTTAGAGAGGCTGATTCCATCAACAGCTGCAAAATATCAGAGTATTAACAGTGCCATGTTGCGCATGGGTGGTGTCCCTGTTAATGCTTTTGGTGTGCATTGTCAAGGCCACATAAGGAGCCCTATGTCACGGCTTAGGGTTAATTAACAGGACAGAGACAACTGCATAGCTCATTGATTAGGAGGCTGTGCTCTATCTATGAATGAGTCAAGTTCTCATTAAACCCAAATCATGACCAAAGTAACCAAAAATTTAAAACCTAAAAAACCATCCCCACCACCTAAATATTTTAATATATCTTTTACAAATATTCGCGGTCTACGAAGCAACTTTCCATCAGTTGAGTCTTACCTCCTGCAAAATTCACCAGACTTGCTTGCACTCAGTGAAACAAATTTAAATTCTGCAATTCCTTCTTCAGATGTCATTGTTGATGGGTACTATCCTTTGATTCGTAAAGACTCCAATAGTCACATGCTAGGTTTAGGTATACATACGCATTAATTCCCCTATTTGTCGTGAAATCAGGTTCGAATCCTTTGACCATTCTTTTATGTGCTTTCGCCTAGCACCTCTTCACTCTATCACCTTTCTCTTTGTTCTTTATTGTTCTCCTTCTTCCCATGATTGCACTCTCTTAGATGTTATCTCTGATCAAATTGACCATGCCCTCTCTCTTTACCCCTCTGCCAATATTTTTGTTGTTGGTGATTTTAATGCCCATCACACTGAATGGCTTGGCTCTAACACCACTGATCCTGCCGGCACTAAAGCCTTTAACTTCTGCGTTTCTCAATCTCTTACTCAGATAGTTAACTTTGTGACTCGTTTTCCTGACAACCCTAATCATTTACCTTCACTCCTTGACTTATGTCTTGTCTCTGACCCTAGCTTATGTTCAGTTTCTCCCTTTTCTCCCTTAGGTGGTTCTGACCATGCAATGATCTCTATAAATCTTTCTTCTCGTACTTCTTTTTTGGGCTCACCTTATCATCGCACCACCTACTACTACCCGAAAGCTGACTGGGATTCCTTTTGTGATTTTCTTCGTGATGGTCCTTGGGCTGATGTTTTTTCTCTCTCAGCTGACAAATGCGCCTCCTACATAACCTCCTGGATTCAGGCTGGAATGGAAGCTTTTATTCCTTCGTGTCGATTTCAAGTCAAGCCTCATTCTACTCCATGGTTTTCTCCTTCTTGTGCGGCTGCTATATCCAATCGTAATCATTTTTTTCATCTTTTTCAAAAGAACAACTCTCTTGAGAACAAACGGCTATTTATTATTGCAAGAAATCGATGTAAAAAGGTTTCCATTATTCTCAGTTCACTAAATCTCGCATCTTATCACAGAAGTTAGGCTCTAAAGACTTTTGGAAAATCTTCAACAGCATTATTAACAAGGGTAGATCTAACATTCCATCTCTCATTCATGGGACTGATCTTATAACCTCTCCCAAGGATAAGGCAGAACTATTTGCAAAGAACTTTTCTAATTCCACTCTTGAATCTTATGGACATTCTCTTCCTTCCATTCCAGTCAAACAGGTTGACCCATTGTTAGACATTCAAATCACTCCGGCTTCTGTTGCTAAAGTCATATCTCAATTAAACTCGTCTACAGCTTGTGGTCCAGACAACATTCCTGTCACAGTCTTGCAGAATTGTTCTCCAGAACTTTCTTCAATTCTCTCTAAACTATTTAACAAGTGTTTGACTGAGTCTTGTTTTCCTGCTTGTTGGAAAATGGCATCTGTGGTTCCAATATTCAAAAATTCTGGAGAAAATTCTGACCCCTCCAATTATCGTCCGATCAGTCTTCTTTCTGTTATTAGCAAGGTCTTTGAGTCTTTGATCAACAAATTTCTCGCATCTCATCTTGAGTCAAATAAACTGCTGTCAGACAATCAATACGGTTTTCAATCCTCTCGCTCTACGGCCGACTTGCTAACTGCTGTAACTGAAAGATTTTATCGTGCATTAGATGGAGGCGGTGAGGCTAGGGCTATTGCTCTCGACATATCTAAAGCTTTCGACAAAGTTTGGCATTCTGGTCTTCTCCATAAGCTTCATATGGTGTTTTTGGGAAAGTTTTTGAGATTATCAAATCATTTCTTTCTAACCGGTTTATTAAAGTCATCCTTGAAGGCCAACACTCTTCTTTATTTCCAGTAACATCTGGGGTTCCCGAAGGTTCCATCCTGGGCCCTGTTTTGTTTCTTATCTACATAAACGATCTTCCTGACAACCTTTCATCTAAAGTAGCTCTTTTTGCTGATGACTCAACTTTATACTCCTGTCTTGACAAAAAGTCTTCTCTTTTCGATCGCCTAGAACAAGCAGCTGATCTTGAATCTGATCTCACTTCAGTAATAGATTGGGGTTCACAGTGGCTTGTGAATTTCAACTCTAAAAAAACCCAATTGCTTACTGCAAACAACTACCGTAGTATGGTCAACATTCCTATATTAATGAATGGCAATCCTCTTACTGAGTCCTCCTCTTTACGTCTTTTTGGATTATCGTTTACTACTGACCTTTCATGGAAACCATATATACAATCGATTGCTAAATTAGCTTCTGCTAAGGTTGCTTCTCTTTATCGTGCTTGCCATTTTCTTACTTCTGATTCCATTCTCTACCTCTACAAATCTCTTATTCGTCCCTGTATGGAATACTGTTGTCATATTTGGGCTGGTTCTTCTAACAATTCACTTTCTCTTCTTGACAAGGTCCAAAATCGCATTGTAAATGTTGTTGGACCTGGAAAAAATCTGCTAAGCTTGAACCTCTTTCCCATCGTCGTAAAGTTGCATCTCTTTCTCTTTTCTACAAATACTATCATGGTCACTGCTCAAAGGAGTTATCATCTCTAGTTCCATCAACAATCTCATTCGTTTACTGTATCTGTCCCTGCATGCTCTAAAAACTTTTATTCATCTAGTTTTTTTCCCCGCACTTCAATCCTTTGGAACTCTCTCCCATCTTCATGTTTTCCTGACTCATACAACCTTCAACTTTTCAAGTCTTCTGTCAACCATTTCCTTGCTCTATAACTCTGTTCTTTTTTTTCCTAGTAACTTCCAACTTAATAGTGGTTGCTTGCAGCCTTGTTGGGAGTGAATACAAATTAAAAAAAAAGAAAAAAAATTTTAATGTTAAATTCTGAATTTTTATATATTATACAATATATTTTAATATTAAATTTAAACTCTAAATGTTTAATATTTAATTAAATTTGATTTCTTTTTAACTTCAATGAAGTCAGAAAACAGCTTTTTAAAGTAGTTATTGTTTTTATGTTAATGTTTTTTAAGGAAACAAGAAATCATAGCAGGAAACAAGACTTTTCAATAAACATAAAAAAATAAAATCATAATCAATATATATTGGAGTAATTGAAAAGAAGAGAAACCATAACTTATCTTTAAAAACTCAAAATATTTATAAGAAACTTTAGGAGCTTCATTTAGAAGTTTATTTACCATAAACTTTGTAATAATAGTCACTTTTATCTTATCAGATAAATTTTTTAAAGTCTCTATTATTCTTGTAAATTTTTCAAAATTTTTATAATTAGTATTACAACTAGCAAATGTGAAATGTGAAATGTGAAAATAAAAATTTTTAAGAAGACATTTTTATGCAAATCCATTTTTAACATTTTATTTTTTTAAAAGGATTACATGATAGTGGTTCAGTTATAAAGAGCAACAGTTTGTAGAGATATCAACATTTTGTAAAGAGGTCAAATTCTAAACTAGAGGAAGTACCCCTCGTCAACTTGTTGCTCTACCTAGCTTTTTTTTTTGCTAAGATTCATGTTTTAAAAACTAATAAAAATTATATATTTTTTAATATTATAGAGTAGAAGAGCAGGCAGTAGCTTTTGCACCTTTGCAAGAATAATTTTTTTTTCGCAAAAAAATTATTCTTATCTTGGAATATCATTTTAAATACAAAATGTTTTAAAGTTTTATTTGAAATTTAACTGAATTTTTAAGTTTTTATACTTAAGTGTTTCTAATTTTAACATTAAAAACACTAACTTTTTTAGTTTTTACAAAAATAAAGTAAAAAATGATTTTTTGGTTTTCTATTTAAAAAATTGTGCTTTAATACTAAAAAACTAACCAATGAGACTTCCAACCAGATAGTCTATAACAACCTCTGCACCGATAAGACCAAATAACAAAGGTTCAAGGTAGTACCAGATCATGCTAAACACTTTCTCTACATGCACCTAAACGGTTTTTTATTCAAAAGTATATTTAAAAAAATTTAAAATTAAAGACAAAAGATGTTCAATACTTACTTTATCTTGCTCACCCCAGCCATACCCAGCCACTGTTGCCATACAAAGCACTCCTAGGGCACCAGCACCTTTTAGTTTAATTAAGATAAATCCAAAGAGAAAAAATAAGCAGCAAAAAAGTAGCAAAGCTGAGCGAAGAGCTACAACATTTTTCTAAAAATACAATTTGAACTTAAAATAGGCTAAAAAATTTTTTTATATTTTCAGAAGTTTTAGTTTTTTAAAATTATTTTGGATTTAGAAACACAGAGTTATAAATATTATTCTTATTTTAAGAAGTCACAAAAACAATTCAGAAGTATCAAATGAACAAAGAATTTGCAATGGAAAAAACTAGTAGCTCAGTTTGTTTGCCAATCATAACTTTTCCACATAGCATGATTTACTTTTATTTATCACTTTTTACCTACCATTTTTAATCTACCATTTTTTATATAGTGTTTTCTATATTTTAACTATAGTGTGTTTATATAAGCATAGTAAGCTTATGCTATATATGCATAAGCATACAGTTTTGTTTATCTTTATAGCATACTGCAAAAGGTTTTTCCTCTTCAATTGCTTAGAACAGGCAGCTAAACTTGAATTTGATCCCACTTCTGTCACAGCTTTGGGTTGCAGTAGCTTGTGAATATTAACTCCCATAAAACTCAGTTATTTATTACAAACAACTATTGAAATACTATTAACATTCCTATGTTAATGAATGGCAACCCTCTTACTGAGTCCTCTTCTTCATGTCTTCTTGGATTATCATTCACTTCTGATCTCTAATGGAAACCATATATACAATTGATTGTGAAGTTAGCATCTGCTAAGGTTGCTTCTCTTTTTTCACAACTATCTTACTCCTGATTCTGTTTCCTACCTCTCCTGAATCCATTCTCTACCTCTATAAATTTCTTTTTAGTCCATGTATAAAATACTGTTGTCATATTTGGCCTGGTTCTTCTAATGACGCTGTTTCTCTTCTAGACAAGGTCCAAAAATACATTGTAAATGTAGTTGGACCTGCTTGATCTGTCAAGCTTGAGCCTCTCTCGCATGATCTGATTTTAGTAGTAGTGGCCAGCATTATGTAAACAGCACACCCCATAAGGAGATAACAAAACAAAAAGTTGTATAAGTTCCAGGTAAAAAATGAAAAACTATTCAAACTAAGATAAGTAAAATATATTTATTAGTTAAATTTTGACAAATTTTTTAATTTTTTCTCAAACACAGAAGGCCTTTCATATTAAATCTTCAGCTGTGTATGAGATTTACAAACTATTATATTGAAATATCCTATAAAAAGTTTAAAAAAGGAAGTAATAAGGTTTATATAAAAAAACTATAATTAACAATCATATAGTATAACTTGATTCTTATTGGTAAGGAAATTTTAAAAGTAATGTGAAAATAATTACTTTCTGTTTATATGTTAATTGTGTCATGTCTCTCCTTATGCATGTGAGAAGAAGTAAATTCTCATTTGAGAGTTTCAACAAAGGAAAAAATTTGAAAAACGTTCAATTTTTGGCAATTGAAAACATGCTGATCAAACTTATCTGAACCAAATTCTGTTCTGCATGTATGTAATGATGAGGTTTTTAAATGTATATCAAAACATTGTAAGTTATGTACTATGTACCTTCAGTTTGTTAACCATTTTACCACATCATCTAGTAAAGTATGGAACATTAAAACTTAAATACCATGTAATTCCAAAAATATTCACAAATATATAATATGAAAGGCATAAAAACAATATGTGTTTGAGAAAAAAGAAAAAAAAAAGTTAAAATTTAACTAACAAAATATATTTTACTTAGCTGAAATAGTTTTTCATTTGTTACCTGTGACTTTTACTCATATTTGTTTTAAATTTCTGCTATATATATATATATATATATATATATATATATATATATATATATATATATATATATATATATATATATATATATATATATATATATATATATATATATATATATATATATATATATATATATATATATATCTGTGTGTATATATGTATATATATACTTGGAAAAACTGTCATAAAAACCAGGCTGAACTGGGTACCCAGCACATCTCTATTATACAGCAACACACTAGAAAATGAAATATATCAAGAAATAACAAAACAAATAATAATAACAATGAAAAAATTGTTTAATGATATATGTTCAAAAAATAAACGTATGGGCTAGGGTAAATTAATCTTTGTGAAAAATTCATGAAAGTTTTTTTTTAATGTTTAAAATTTAATTGAATTGCATTAAATTAAAATTAATATTAAAATGAAACATTATAAAAAAAAAAAATTTATTAAAATATTCTGTAGAGAAAACTGAAATAAAATGTGGTATTTAAAAAGCTCTTCTATAATAAAAAAAAAAAATCAAATAAATGAAAATTTATTTGAAAATGAAAAGAACAAAATCATTAACAACTTTGTAACAAAGGGCGATCACCATAAAATGTCAATTTTTAAATTTATTCAAACAAACAAAAATTAAAAAACAAAAAAAACATAAATACCTAATTTTGCCCATGCATTGGACAAAATGGGGTTTGACATGTTTTGTTGGTGTCTGTTTTGGGATGGGCATTAAATGATGCAGAGAAACAGCTAAACACGATCCACCAAATGTATACCCGTAAC